CTACCAACTGAAAATATTAGGTGTGTCCCGCGCGCTCATATGACCTTATGCAGTTGCGAGCGCCGTAAAACACTTTGCAAAAACAAAAAAAAGAGCATGTTTGATACCTAAGAATAATTGGGTTAAATACAACAATACTACGAGGCAGACTGATAATGGGAGCTAACAAGGGTATTGAATTGCTTATGATGTTGATGCAGTTACACGATATTTTAAGGAGAAAAAGAAAGCGACCTCCAACCCCCACCCCCTGGACATACAGACAGACTCTTCGTTCCAACATGTTAATTATTGTAGTGCTGGTGGAAGGTTATACACCTCATTCATATGCATTTGGTCAATATTTATGATGTGAATTGTTTCTGCTTTTCGAATGCTATTTTTTTTTCTTCGCACATAATAAAATGCGATTTTTGTAATTTCTGTTCACAGTTGCTTTTGATGATATGGAAAAAAAAGTTTGTCTTGTATGTAGAGCTGTAGCTGAAAAATGCCAGTCTTTATTTTTTTTTTAGGCTAACCAGTATAAAATATAACGTTCTGTTGCTTTTTTTGTTTCAGGTAAGCCTGTTTTCTCTGTGGACTTCCACCCTGATGGTTCAAGATTCGTCACTGGTGGACAGGGTAAGTTAGTGTAGCTTAATTTAAGAGTTTTGATGGTAAAACACAGAACAAGAGTTGTTATTTCTTCTTTTTTGCGGGCGGGGACTGAAAATATTTAGTATTATCATTAGATTTTAATTTTTATAGGAATATAAGCCATAGATTGTAATGCCTTTCTTTTTATGTTACCTAAATTGTCTTCCAGTAGCAGATGGTCAGTGGGTGGTTGGCGGGTGTTCTGGTGTGGTTTGCTTCTTCTTTCTTGTCAAATATCTATCGTCCTTATCTCTCCTCCTTTTTTGTGTTTGTTACTCTCTTGTAACATCTTTAATATTCAGCACTTATATGTCCTTATTGTGTTGCAAGTGTCGTAAAACACTTACTAAAACTAAAAGCAGATGGTCATGTGATAAAATATTTGTCCAGGTGAAGACTATGGCAAGATTGTCATCTGGAACATGGCGCCTGTACGGGATGAGAGCCTGGAGAATACTCAAGGAGTCCCCAAGATCTTGTGCCAGATGAACAACCACTATGGTGAGTAGACTGGGACAGAGTGGTACGGGGTTCCTGCGGCCTCCTTGAATTCAAGTAGTCCTTGAAAACTCCTTGAATTTGCATTCAAAGGAAAAATCTCCTTGAATTTGAGGAACCTCCTTGAAACTCCTTGAATTTCGCCAGATCGGACATAAACAAAATTTTTGTCAGAAAATGGAAAAACTACGATTCCTTTCGGACAAGTGTAGGCCTATCGGAAATATGCTTTCGACATGAATTTCTTGACTAAATCTCCTTGAATTTTAACAATTTCTCCTTGAACCTCCTTGAATTTGGTGGAAAGTTCATGGCAGGAACCCTGGTGGTAAATATTCCCTGTACATGACTGTATGAAAATTCCCTCATTACTCAAAGCAGTTCAGAAAATGTTATTTATGGTTTTATAAGGTTGCTATAAAGTACCCTCAGATTTCTATATTATATTTATGCACTATGTTTGTTTACTTAAATTTTCTGTTTTATGTTGATTAGATAAATGTGTTACAATAACAATGCAGTTACGAATGTTTGTACAGTGTGATGTGAAGTTTGCAGAAATTTGTGAGGCCGTAATGTCTTTTAATTCTTTTTATCTTTTACCCTAGAAATCTTTTTCAGGTTGTATGGACTCATGTCTTTCCTTAATTCATTTTGTTTTATCTAAAAAATTCTAGTACCCTTGAACTTGGAACTTACAATCCCACCACTTGTAATTGAATAAGAAACAATTGAAACCATGGATTCATATGAATATATTTGGTTTTTCAATCAATAACAAATTTACATGGCAAAATCACGTAAACGACATAGTTAAAAAGGTAAATCAGAGGCTGCACTTTCTGAGGAAACTTAGATCTTTCAATCTGAATCCATCCACCTTTCAGATATTCTACACCACCACAATAGAAACTTTGATAAATTTTGGTATCACTTGCTATGGTAGTATTTTTGGAAGGCCGCACATCATAAAAATAAACAAGTTGATGAGAGAGGCATCAAGAACAATTGGTAGAGACCTAAGTAACTTTGAGTATCTGCACAAAACAAACGTTCTAAAAAAGGCGGAAATAATCCTTAGTGACCTTTGCCACCCACTGACATCGGAATTTCAGTTATTCGACCTGCAGTAAACAATACGTTTCCAAAAAAGCAAGAACAGACAGATATAGAAATTCATTCGTACCAATTGCAGTGAGGTTACACAGTGCTACAAATGAAACACAGAGAGAGAGAGAGAGAGAATGTTTTGAGGAGCGGGTTGTTCCAGCACGTGGGACATGTATATACTAATGTCCTGTCTTGTTGTGCGTATGTGTTAGCGCACCTAACCTTTGTAGCGTCTGCTGCCATTGTTAACGATCCAAAAAAATTCTCCTTGCGAGATGTATAAAGATTGTCATTGTCATTCTCAGCCTGCGTCAATTGTGTACGCTGGTCTCACAACGGTAAGTTTTTAGCATCCGGCGGAGATGATAAGTTGGTGATGATATGGCAGACGAGCCGTGCAGCGGGTCCCTCGAAAGCATTCGGGTCAACTGGCAGTGTGGTCATCCATGAGCAGTGGCGGCCAGTGCATACTCTCAGGGCTCATTCAGGGGGTAAGTGTAGGATTTTTTTTCTTCTGTTTATGTAATACTGTTGAGAGAGTGAGTCTTGGTGTTTTCGCCCCTCTCTTTCACTTTAAACTAACCTTTGCGCAAGTTAAACATGTGGGTGGTTGGCATTGGTGTGGTTTACTCCTTCTTTCCTATCAAACATCTATCGTCCTGATCTGTCCTTCTTTTTTGTGTATGTAAGTTGCTCGCTTGCTAATAGCTCTATTCTTCGGCACTTATATGACCTCAGTGTTACAAGTGCAGTAAAACTCTTAATAAAACTTTAAAAAGTCAGACATATGCCTATCTCCTCTGCGGATACATTTAGTCATCATTGGACATTGACAGATGATCTATTATTATTAGTGTATAGTACTGCCAAAAGTAACTTGTGGAATCATGCTGAATGCTATGACAGTGAGGTTCATGAAACCCAATGGGAAAATATATTGCGACCTCAGTGCTTTCTTGCCGTATCTCTATTTTTTTAGCAGTGAAAATGTGACTTCTTCTTAAGCTCACTCTTTGTTATGAACTGTTTTCTCTGTTATTAAAACTGGAGATACGACAAGAAAGCAATGAGGTCGCTATATAGAGAGGGAGATGTAAGGTGATACTAAAAGAGAATGAAAAAGGAAGCGCACCATGGAATGTGCACATTAAGGCAATGTTTTCAGGTGTTAACATGAAGGAAAAAATGGAAGGTCAAGCTGCTTTCTTGTACACTTGTCTGAAAGTTCTTACAGAAGATGAAAAGATGTAAGGAATGGAAATGTGTTGGCGTGATGAAGAGGGGGGGGGGATGAGGGGATAGGTAAAAGGTACTTTTGCTATTTGTTTGAGTGGCATTATCCTTCCTATTAACTACCCTAATTTTGTTATCAGCTGTACCATTTCAAAACAGCCCTGAGTCTTGAAGTTTGTCTTGCATTTCTACTATTTTTCTATAATATGAACTGTCTGTAGATCTGAAGTTAATTCACTGTTTGCCCTTTGTTTCCCGGTAGATGTACTGGACTTGAACTGGTCCCCACAAGACATATGGCTGGCCACTTGCAGTGTTGACAACACAATCATTATCTGGAATGCTCTCAAATTTCCTGGTAAGATTTCATGTACAATGCTGTTATGATTTTAGAGTTTTGAGTAAAAAATGTATTCATTCAAACACCTCTTTGAGTAAAATCATCAGTTTGCCAGCCTTGTATAGATTCATAGTATTCTTGTGCTTAAAATCATAGTAGGTGTGTTTTCTTCTTAAAAATAAATTTAAATAACACTTATAAATCTTCATTCCTTGTTTTCTTTATATCAGTCTTGCAAACGAGTGAGTTGATCACAGACTTTGTCATGCCTTGTTATGTTTTTTATAATTTTTATTGCCCATGTCTTGATGAGGCATGAAGGAGATGGTGGCGATGGATTGGACGTACTCTCAGGAAGTCAGGCAGCTGCATAACAAGGAAAGTGTTGGATTGTAAAGCTTGCTGCTTTTCATTTTGCTATATGTGTTGCGATGTGTGATCAGTACTTTTTGTAATTTTCGTTTTTGTTTTTCAGAACAAGTGGCCACTCTTCGGGGTCACAGTGGGATGGTCAAAGGTGTAACCTGGGACCCTGTGGGAAAATATCTTGCTACTCAGGTATGTTTACTGTTCTCTCTGTTTTGGAAGGGGGGGTTCTTTCATGCTTTGTCTTTGCACCGTAAATAGATGTCATCGCTGGTACTGATGAAGACATTTTGTTGTATATCTCAAATAAAACTTTTTCATGTCAATCTTTGCTTGTACTCTTTGTATTCTAGCCATAGAAATGGTGTCCAACGTCCAGTGATATTGACATTGTCACTGGCAATATTGAAAACATTTTATTTTTTTTGTGTGTGTGTGTCTCAAATAGAAGAGTGAATCACCCTGTATCTTTGAAAGCTCAGTCTGTTGCTCTTAATTGTGTATTGTATTTTAATTTGTTTTGGTTTCCCTTTCACCCAGTGGGTGGCTGGCGGGTGCTCTGGTGTGGTATGCTTCTTTTTTCCTATCAAACATCTATTGTCTTTATCTCCCCTACTTTTGTTTTGTGTTTGTTACTCTCTTGTAACACCTCTAATCTTCGACACTTATATATGACCTTGTTGTGTTGAAAGTGCCATGAAACACTTACTAAAACTACACCTTTCGCCCACACAAGTCTGATGATCGCACTGTGCGGGTTTGGAGGACGATGGATTGGCAGCAAGAGTCAGTGATCACAGAACCATTCAAAGAGGTACAAAATGTAGCTTTTACCGCAAAATTAAACATGTTATAACACAGTGGGATCGGATGCTTATTCATTTGGGGGGGGGGGGGGGGGGGATAAAAATTGTAGTTCCTGTTGCTATACTTGATGAAAGCTGTTTTGTATTCCATTTTGAAAGTAGAACTCAATATAAATTTTTTGTTGACTATAACTTTTTCCAAATGACGATGATTTATCTTTTGTGATGTTTGTTTACAGTGATAACATTGGTGACTGGCAAAGTAAAAATATTTTTTGAGAAAAGTGTTATTTAATTATACTTTTTAAAATGACGACATAGTTTTGCTGTTGAGACTTATTCACATGACACTGATCAGCATGTTTGGGAAATAGTTGATGGTAACAGGGCTGTCATTATGTGCTGTAGACTTACTGCTGATGCTTCAGCTTCTGTGTAATGTGTTATTGAAATGATTCTGAGATACAATGCCCCCAGGGCAGTGCTACTGACTGAAGTGACTTTAAGCCATTCCCAAAGGGGGGGGGGGGGATATTAACATGTTCTTATGCACAGTTGAGTTGTAAATGGGCTGATTTATCAATGTCATGCTCATTCTGTGCCGGAACAACATAGGGGGAACTGTTACTTTTTCTTTCCTCTTCCTTGCTTTCATCATTTTCCTCTACTTCTTTTGTATAGTTGTCACTCTCTTGTGAACTGATTTCCGGGATGCCTTGATTGTCGAAGCAGACTTTGTGCTGTTGAGGCTAGAGGGATGAGCAGAGTAAGCCTGATTCCCCGTTTGGACTTCTCTGTTGACATCCGCCCCTTGGCGCTCGTATGACCTTATGCGGTTGCGAGCATCGTAAAACCTTACTAAGTGGGTGGTTGGCGGGTGCTCTGGTGTGGTTTGCTCCTTCTTTCCTATCAAACATGTATCATCCTGATCTCTCCTCCTTTTTTTAAATGTTTGTTACTCTCTTGTAACACCTCTAATCTTCGGCACTTATATCCTTATTGTGTGCAAGTGCCGTAAAACTCTTACTAAATCTAAACAAGCGATACAATGTTGCCGTTTCCCCAGTGTGGTGGGACGACTCACTCGCTGCGACTGAACTGGTCACCAGACGGTCATCACGTGGTATCTGCTCATGCCATGAACAACTCGGGCCCCACGGCTCAGATCATCGAGCGACAGGGCTTCAAGGCCACTCTGGACTTTGTTGGTCACCGCAAGGCTGTCACTGTGGTGGTGAGTGCATTTGTTGGGACTGAGGCTCACTCAAACATTGTTTTACTACGTGTGCAGTTGTGCTTTAGATGTTGCCAATGGAGGTTGCTTTTGATATTGCTTGTTCGAATTCTTCAGAGTTCCATGAGAGATTGTATAGTTCAAGATGTATCCTGTCTTGAAAAAGGAATATTCAGACAATTAATATTAATGTGGTCTGGTTCTGATAACAATTTTTCTTTCCTTTCTCAAGAAGAGGTTATTTCCGAACCATCTTTGCTCTGTGTACAAGACCTGTCACTCCCTATGAATATTATCAAACGCAAGATGATATAGATGTCTGTGCCAGCACTGTTTAAATCTTATTTTTTGTTTATTTATTTATTTTTTTGTATCTCAAAATGAAGTACTAAAAAAATAGTTGACATAGGAATTCCAACATTGCTCAGAACCTAATGAAACTGAAACTTCACTACTATTGACATATAAGTAAATAATACCCCATGACTCTCTCAAAAAACATACTTAGGAAGCAAAAGTAGAATGCAAGAGAGGTAAGGGGAGACCTAATAAAAGGTGGTAAAAAGACATATATAAGAAACATGGCTGGAGCCAAAACAACTCAGGCAGGTAGAATGGCAAGAGACAGTGTTGTATTCCCGAAAGGTCTGAGAAACGACATCCAACTTCTAAGAAATCTATAAAAAAAAGAAGATCTCAAATAGAGGGGTAACACATCTTGAGGTGTGCAATCTTTGATTTCCTATTGTTATGATGAGCCTGTTTGGTACTGATTTTTTAAAATAAATTTCCAAAGTATGTCGGATTTGTTGTGCCATGAAATTGTGGTTTGCCTTTTTTCATTAATTTTACCAAATGTGATTGTCCCTTCAAATTTGTTAAATAGAGGGACCCACCACAATTTTCTGAACTTCTTTAACAAAGTTATTTCGTTTTCTTTTTCTTTTTCTTTTCTTGTTACCAGCGATTCAACCCAAACATGTTCACAAAGTCATCAAAAGGAGATAAGGTTGGTTATCTTTGTTTATTTACTTTTTTTTCCACGTATGTACAAAAAAATTATACGTTTGATATATGTAATGCATTGTAGTGAAATCAGGCGCTCGTCAAAATAATTAAATCGGAAAAATCTGCATATTTCCGCCAGTTTAACCACTTTTATCGAATTTTTTTTTTGACTCAACGCCTTTAAGGGTAGGTTGCAGTTAATATTTCTAACTTTGTTTTTAATACATTCCAGCATCATTCAGAGTTTTGGGGTTCAAAATATGACAAAACTCCCATTCTGTTTGGAGAGGGTAGACACGCCCATCTGAATTTCTATCACCTGTAGGCCTGGACCTACCAACATTACCTGTTGAGGGTCCTGCATCACCACTAGATCTAACACACGAAGAAATACGACCAGCTGGAACTGGAACATTTATGAATCTATGTCACTATCAGGCTCTACATCAGACAAAATATTGTCTAGATAGAACCAATTGTTGTCACTACAATCTTTAAGCTCTTCACCTGAATCAGAGGCGTAGATCTAGCGATCTGGGAACGCTGAAGCCATGGAAGAATAAAAAATGTCCAAAAAAAACCTTCACAGCTCAAGAAACACGCTAAAAAATTTGAAGCGCTACATCAATGATTCAGCTATCGCATAGAGTGATTTCCCTTGATATTTACTTCCGTGGAGAATTCCGTTCGTTGTTTAGTGTATCCGGTCGAGTCGTCGATTTTACGCCGGCAGTACTGAACGGAAATTCCAGGCTGGTACTGTAAATGTTTATGTGTCCTGCGTGCTCATGTGACCTTATGCAGTTGCAAGCACCATAAAACACTTATCTTCCTAGTGAAGCGTTTTTTGATACTTGAAACGTCTTAAGAGATATTGAGGGTAATGTAATAGCTATTGCTTGACTCTGTTAATTTTTGCATTTTCGCATCAACTGAAGCACTCGAAACAGCATTTTTCAAAATTGGTGGAAGATATTTTTTTTTAAAGCCTCATTAGGATTACAGAAAATTCATAATTTTCTAGAGAATTTATTGACTTGTATAAAGACAATGAATCTTTTGTCAATGTTCCCAATTCTTTTATATCTAACTTGCTGGGCCCCCTTTCGATGAAAGAAATTATATTTACACTACTGGAATGGAGCAATAAATCTTGAGAGGTGCAAAAAATTAGAACGTTTAGATCTATACTCTCAAAACAAAATGCGCCTCACGAAATATCACTCTCGGCACTTCCGCTCTGAAGGACAGCTACGCAGATTTGTTTCGTTTCTCAGTGGAATAATCACAAAGGCCAAAGAAGGACGGGAACTTTTTGTCAAATATATTTTTCTAAATTTAGAAAATGAATGAATAAAAAATTGGGCTCTGTCATGGGGACCTACCTATCTTTTTGTAGGTACTTACCAACTTTCAACTCTGTAGCTGTCGTAGTTTTATGTGTTTCTGAGTTGCCAAATATATAGTAGATTCTAAAAAAAAAAAAAGACCTCCAACATACAGAAGGTAGTGATGCAACAGAGTGGTCAATTTAGTGATAGTATCAACTGAAAAAATGAAATTAAGGGAAATGTTGTCAAAAACAGGCAACTCCACCTTGCCAACCATACATTGCTGAAGGACCTCTTTGTTCCTAATCAGTCTCTCTTCCTGGGCAGTAGAGAGGTCTGCCAGTCCATTTTTCCTCCTCTTAAAGATGGTTACTTTCCTGCTTTTTCTAAGCCACACCCTCTACGACAGTCTCTGTCCCCTCTCTTTGGGTACAGCCCCTTCTGGTGCCACTGTTCATGGTTTGGCCTGAGACCTGCAACTTCAGAAACCGCTTAAACGTTTCGGTGCCAGGGGCGCCAAAACAATGTAAATTTTCGCTGTCTATGAACTCTCAAGCTATGGAAGTCTCCAAACTCTGTCTAATTTTACTTCTAAAACCAGGCGACCTCCACCACCTTCAGTTGCAATATCTCGACTTTTATTCAAGATAGATGCATATTTTTTCCTCCAAAGCAAGACAAACGAACAAACTCTAAGATGATACCAATAACTGTACAAGCTAAAAAAAAAAGACGAGCACATGATTCCACCTTGTCATGACACATGTTGTTCTGTGTTGATGCAAGTCTATGCTATGTTGATTAAAAAGAAATGTTTGTTGTATTTCCTTTCTGGGTCTTTTGTGCGCCAGTTTTTCATGTTTGCTTGTGCTCCTTTGGTCTGCCAGGTAAATTATGCTTCATATTCCTCACCGGTGGGTTGTTGGCAGGTGCTCTAGTGGGGTTTTCTTCTTCTTTCCTATCAAACATCTATCATCCTGATCTCTCCTCCTTCTTTTTTGTGTTTGTTACCCCCTTGTAACACCTCTAATCTTCAACACTTATATGCTGCTCACCTTTCTAGCCCCGACAGCACAAAGTCTGCTTCAACAATCAAGGAACCCCGGAAATAGCAGTTCACAAGAGAGTGCCAAACATACAAAAGAAGTATAGGTAAAATAATGATAGTGTGGACGAGGAAAGAAAAAGCAGCAGTTCTCCCTGTTGTTCCAGCACAGTATGAACATGACATTGATAAATCAGCCCGTTTACAATTCTACTGTGCATAAGAACTTATTAATATCCCTCCTTTGGAAATGGCCTAAAGACACTTCAGTCAGTAGCACTACCCGGGGGGGGGGTGTTGATATTGAGAAATAGCTTCTCATAAAAGTGTCGGATTTCAATGACTGGAAATTGTTATCAGAATCTCTGTCAATGAACAAAGATGCTCCGTTTGTTAGAACTGGCCAGTCCCTGTGTACTGCAGTCGGTTTTCATGTTCTAAAAAAACCTCCTCAGCTGCCAGTGACCTCATTAGGATGTGCAGAATTAATGCACCATCGAATATACTCTAACAACCACCCGTCCAAGACAATCACCTGTATACATAATAATATACCTGTATACATAATAATATACCTGTACAAATGACCACTTCCCACTCCCCTCCCGTGGTGGATTAAATTGTTCATTTTAATGACACACTCCAAGTTGTCCACCTGTCTAAGACAACCACTTTTCTCCTCATCAAGGAGTTGGTGTCTAGGACAGGTTTGACTGCATTTGGAATACCTTATCTTTTGTGACAGGTCAGAGGGTGGAGCTGTTCCTTTTGGGGTAATGAGTTGTGAGTATGATCGGGCTGTTTTTTTATGTTTGGTATTTTATTTTTTTATTGAAGTTCTCTAATGTTTGACTGTTTTTTGTGTGTTTTTTTCAGTCCCAGCCCTACTCTTGTTGTGCTGTTGGCAGCAAGGACAGATCTGTTTCCATTTGGGTGAGCACCAAATTTTGACATGTGTTTCCTTACTTCAAAGGTGTAGAGCCAAATTTAAAAAAAAAGATTTGATAAATATTGCTCAAAAGGTAGAAAAACTTTGATTTCTTTCATTTCATTATTTTGGCGAATGCCTAATTTTACCACAATGCCTGTCGCATGTACTAATGCAGCTTACCTCAAATTTTGGTAGCCAAAGGATACTAAAATATTCTAAAAAAAACACTGAAACCCTAACGTTAACCTATCTTACTTTTTGTCTGGCTCAACAGCCATTTGTAGATGGTTGGAGGGCGCAACTGGAAGGTCCTACTTTTTTACTTTCCCGCTGTTGTTTCTGTCTGACCTTTTCCCAGCACTGAATGACCATTATTGCGTCGATGTGCTTCTCTTTACTCAAACAAGCAAACAAACGAACAACAGCCATCCAAGTGTCGCTCGATGTGTTTCTCTTTTCATGAACAAACAAGAAAATAAAATGATAAAATGTGTCTCTCTCTCTATCTCTTACAGCTGACCTGTTTGAAAAGACCTCTGGTGGTGATGCATGATTTGTTTGAAAATTCCGTCCTAGATTTATCATGGTGAGTTAGTCATGAGTTAGCTTGGTCCAATACTCCTGTCTCTCTCTTATGAAAAACAGTTATGTTGCTTTCTGTTATAACCACAATTTATTGTCTTGATTGTTTACAGGTGAGGAGTACATGGGAATAACCGGTATAGTCACAAACTGGAAATTGTTAGGGTGTCAATTTTAAAAGCTTGTGGACTCATAAATAACTTCATATTTGTTTAACTGGTGGTTTATTGTTATGTTTGTTGAATGGGAAGTCTAGCAACAATAATCAACCAACAGTTGAACTGAAATACAGTTATGAGTCTACAAATGTTCAAAATTGATACCCTCATGATTTTCAGTTTGTGACTATTCACGATTTTCCAATGGACTCCTCAGTTGTAAATCTGTAAAACCATTTTTAGCTGTGGGCTGTTGTTGTTTTTTTTGGAGGGGGGATTGTTTGTTTGTTTGTTTTTGTTTTGTTTACTGAAAAAGAAATTCAAAGAGTAGTAGGAGTGAATGCATTCTGATTTATACTGACCAGTAAAAGTTTGTAGTAATAATTATTTTAATAATATTATTATTATTATTATTATTATTATTGTATTTATATAACGTGTATCCATGCACTACAACATACTCTATGTGCTCTTCAACTCTAATTACCCCAGTACACCATAGAACACTCAAGAAACATTCTTGACTTTCTGGGAAGCGTACAGTAAATCTTGTTCATTTGAAAGGTAGCTTTGTTGTCTGATGAGCAAAATCATGTAAAAAAGAACAAAAATATGTGAGTTAAATGGAAGTCTGTACTAGTGCTGATTTGAACCTCGATTAATTTATGTTTTTGTTCAAATCTTCATTTTTTAAGAATAATATTATCTAACAATATACTCCAATGTTACTGGATAAACGAGAACTTTCTCCTCTCTCTCTCTCTCTTTTTCTCTCTCTCTCTCTCTCTCTCTCTCTCTCTGTCTCTCCCTCTGTCTGTCTGTTTCAGTCAGTCAGTCTGTCTGTCTGCCTGCCTGTCTCCCTCTCTTTCTCTCTCTTTCTCTCTCTCTCTCTCAATTGTATTTCATCTACATTCTGCATTACTTTCCATCTCTACGTGTCACAGGAGTCTTAGTGGCCTTGAACTACTTATCTGCTCCATTGATGGCACTGTCGGCTTTCTTGAGTTCTCAGCGGAGGAAATTGGCTGGGCTCTCACCAAAGAAGACATGGTAAGTTGGGCAGAAGGCTTTAGTTGGCGTAGAATTTTTTGGTAGATGTACCAAATGCAGAAACGAGTGAAGTTTTTTTTTCTTTTTTTTTTTCTATGAGGCCATGGTAATATTCATAGCTTGTCCTGATTGGTTTAAACATTCAATGTGTGTAGGTGATTTGCGGGTGCTCTTGTGTAGTTTGCTCCTTCTTTCATATCATACATCTGTTGTCCTTATCTCTATTTCTCCTTGTCTGGGGGCTCTCGTCACCTAGGGGTTAAGGTCCTCTCTTTCAAAGGTCCCGCGTTCGAATCCAGGTAGGGACGGAAATTTTTTTTTCGTTATAATAGTCTCCTTTCATCTCCTTTCCTGCTCTCTAGCAATGTTTTGTCGTCCGCTTTCATCACCACTTTCTGCCCCCCCTCACCTCCTTTGCCCCCTCCTCTGGGCTCCTGACTCTTTCTGCAGCCTTTCTACAGCTACTCCCTGGCTCCTTCTTGCTGTCTTTCAGCCACACCCCTGATGTTCTGGTAGGAAAGATCTACACCTAGCCTTCTCGGACAAGGGCGAAAAATTTCAGAGGTCCCGTGTGCAAGTTGCGCACATCAAAGATCCCTGGTCTAAAATCAATAAGAGTAGACTTCGGCCGTGACCCAGGCAAAATTCAAAATTTCCTACCAACTGAAAATGTTTAATGTGTCCTGCACGCTCATATGACCTTATGCAGTTGCGAGCGCCGTAAAACACTTACCATCTCTTTGTCTTTGTATGTTACTCTGTAGTAACACCTAATCTTTGACAAAGTATGTGACCTATTTGTGTTGCAAGTGCTGAAAATTTCTCGCACTAAAACATAACTAAACATTCAATGAGTGCTCAGGTTATATCATATGGCTGTCAGTGGGAGGTCACTCTGTTCTAAAAATTGGGACATTGCCGTTTTCATTACAGCTCTAGTACCAGACTGCAGCCATCTGTCTCAGGTGCGATTGCTGCAACAATGTCCTCTTACAGAGAGAGAGAGAGAGAGACAGACAGACAGACAGACAGACAGAGACAGAGGGAGAGAGACCAGAAATTTCCCTTTGAAGTTTTAGTTTTAGTGAGAGTTTTACGGCACTGGCAACACAATAAGGTCATAAAAGTGCCTAAATTCTCCATTGAAGTTGAAGTCAATATATTTCAAGCATAGGCAAATTTGACAGTGATTTTAAGGGTAGGTAGGTAGCAGATGAAATTCCTTACTTTATTAATATAACATTCAACAACATACATAGAGATCATAAAACAGTCGAGGGGTTCAAAATGAAAGACAAATAAATTGTAAAATATAATCATTCTTTCTTTGTGGGTTTAGAAAAAATGTTCCATGTTTTTTTTCTCCCTCAGACTGGTCTGCTGGAGTCTGTCTATGGCAAAAGCATATCCCTCAATATGGCTACTAGTGTTGGGTCCCAAATCATCGAGTCGGCAGCCATGTTGAATCTTCAGGAGCAGCAGAAGAGCAAGGAGGCAAAGGTCATCGCCATGACGCCCACCAAAAACAGCAACATGTCCTCGCAGATGTCAGCCAGTGGAGACAACACTCCTTTCAAGGTCATCATTGAAAGCTGAGAATAAATTCTCTGGGGTCTTTGCCAAATTTGTATCAAGGCTTCAAGTTTACTTTTAATTTTTGCCTTGTTCACCTTCGTATGACTGCGCCTAAAACAAAATGAAATCACTGGGTTTAATCTTTTCAGATTTCTGCATACGGGTCTAAAATTTGGATGACCAACAGAATCTTAAAAAGCCCGTTCATGAAGGTCGCTGCAAATTAAGGTTCCGAAACGTTTTCTTTGATTAAACCTAAAGCGGGTTTAAAAAAATAGGGAAATTAAAGCATGCGCCTAAAGACTTAAAAGTTGACGTATTTTCCTCAACACCGCATTTTAACTCTCGCCCAAGAAACACGATTTAAGAGACGGTGTGAGTAATTTTCGAGACCTGTTGAGCACACGGAGACGTCTAGACAGCCAGGGAATGAAATCTCCAAGCTTACACTGACATGTAGGGGCAGGGCTGTGTCGCTATCTCAAAATGAGCAATTTGCTGACAAAGTTACTGTAAGTCATTTATTTTAGTGGTCCTATTTATGTATCCAATGAACAGTCAGGTGAAAGTGAACAAGCTATTATAGAGCTTTTTTCGCTGTACATGATTTGATTTTGGAAGCCTCATCGTATCTTTTTTCACTGTTGGGGGTGATTTACAACACCCCCATCTCTCCTCTCTCCTCTCTCTCTCTCTCTGTCTCTCTCTCTCTCTCTCTCTCTCTCTCTCTCTCTCTCTCTCTCTCTCTCTCTCTCTCTCTCTTTCTCTCTCTCTCTCTCTCTTTCCCTCTCTCTCCTTGAAATCCCTCTCTCCTGTCTCCCTTTCCTTCTCTCATGGTTATAGTATCCTCAACTTTTCCCTAAAAATTCGCTTTAAGTTTAGTGCGAGTAGATTCATTTGCTGAGGGTAATCCCAGTACGGCATGCCCAGCAAAATGTTTTGCCTATTGTCAGTAAAGCGGTTTGTAGAAGACCAGCCAAGATAAACCTTGTAAAGTCATGCAAAGTCAGTCTTACAATTTTCATTTATGTTCGCTCGGCATCAATGAGAACCTTCCGAGATCGTGGTCTCAAATGATATATCCAACTATACAGTTATCTGTTAATGAATTATGTAAAAATATAAAGTTGGGTTCAGTGCATCGTATCTTATCATTTCATAGTTTAAGTTTCATCAAACTCCCAGGAGGTGAAAGGTTATCAGAATAAGGAAGTTTCTTTAACTTTTTGTTTTTGTGCATGTTCTCAGCCTGTGGATAAGCAAATTGAGACGCGCACGGCTGATGGAAGGAGAAGGATCACTCCGATATTTTTGGCTCCGCAGCCAGAATTTGGGTAAGTTGTCTTCATTTATTTTTTTTGAAAGTTTAGTTTTCGTTTGGGGCCAGTGAGGTTCATTGGTGCCTTACTTGGCCTGTTTTTCTATTTTCTTGGCATGGTAGGTAGGAGATAACACAGAATTACCTTCCAGACTAAGTGTGGTGTGGTAGGTTTTGCATCCCATCTCCCTTCTCCCTTACACCCCCCCCCCCTATCCCGACCAACCCGTCTCCCTTTCTATGCCTTCAGCAGGTAAATAATGGGAGCTGGATCCCTACTAAGATGGATTAAGGAAGATTTTGCTTATCTCCTTTAGCGTTTGTTTAAGAAAATTGATATTAAATATACCCTTTTATATGATCAATTGTGTATTACGCCCCCTCTTGTACCAATGCTGAAACAATCCAGTTTTGGGTTATTAATATTCCTATAGAAAAGTCAGATATGACAGAGACAGATGATGTCAGAAATTCTCCTCCTTTCTCCCGTTTCCCCGAGATGTTCGAAAACATTTCCGTAATCATGTGACTCTTCGTCCCACAGGGAAGTTCCTTTGCCATTCACGTCCAACTCTAACATCGGTTTCCACTCATCGTCGGAGAAGAGCAAAATTGTTGTGGAGAAGCAGAACAGAGTGACTGCCCCTGGCATGCTGTCGCCGTCGTCGGGTTCCAAATCGATGCCGTCGCCTCCCATAAGTGCACTTGCTGCAGCAGCGGTGGCAGCAGGAGCAGCAGTGAGGGATGCACTGAGCTCTTCATCGCAACATGCGCAGGTAAGAGGGAACGATTGTCCTTTCTTTTATCAGGAAAGCAATTGTTTTTTCCTCTCCCCGCCCCTCCCAATCATTTTCACTGAAAGAAAGTTTTAAGAACAGTTACTATTCTCAGCATTTATTTTCTGTTTAACCCAATAAGAGTTGTGTGTTTTCATTGTCCTTTTGTTGGCAAATGCAACTTCATAAATTCTTAATTGTTTTCACAAAATCCCTTTTGTATCCTTTCTCGTTTCTTTATGGGTGCCACACTGGGATTTGAATGGCGGCTGAAGCCTACTCTTATCAATTTTAGACCACCAAGGGATCTTTATCATGCGCAACTTACACACTGGATCTCCGAGATTTTTCGCTCTTGTCCGAGAAGGCTATTGCCTCCGTCTGTCCCCGTCTCTGCTACAATGAAATGGGTGGTTGGCGGGTTCTCTGGTGTGGTTTGATACTTCTGTCCTATCATCCATATATCCTCTTTATCTCTCCTACTTCTTTTTTATGTATGATACCCTCTTGTAATATCTCTAATCTTCAGCACTTATATGACCTATTTTGTGTTGCAAGTGCTGTAAAACTATTACTAAAAACTGAACTAAACTGCTACAAGGAACTACTTCATGAAGTTATGGACCTCTGTTGGATTTTACATTGTTAGTGTACAATGTTTTTAAACATCAGTTTCCTGTTCTTCCAGAATATGTAATGAAAGTATTTAAATTTTAAAGAGTTGCACAATAAATGCTTTGTTGTTAGGGCTGGGTACAAAATGTTCTAGTGGGGGGGAGAAAAGGGGTCCTTGACACCCTATCGAAGAAGGTTTGCCTTGGTCATATGGTCGCTTTTAAGGACAAGGGGGCTAACCCAGATTTTGGGGGTTTCCAGAAATCTTGTTGCCCTACCTATAGAAGAAGTTACATTTCATTGGCGTGTATATTTGTTTGGTTATAGAAAAAACCCTCATCTTTTAAAGATAGATTTCATAGGTCCAAAAATTTTACTTCCGATTTTCTGTAAACAGTATTTTTCGGGATAGCCCCCTTGTGCTTAAAAACAACCATATTATTACACATTTTATGGCCAATTTTCTATCTGTTGATTACTAAAACATATGTTGGTAGGTGGGCAGCCCTGCATACTCGTTTCATGTCTAATGGTGTCACTCCCTTATTTTCTGTTTCTCAAACTTTCATGAAATGTTACAGTCATTGAAGGCTGGTGGGGAGGCTGTGCTGGAGAAGGCACAGGCCAAGGTGGGTCCAGAAGGCACGCCGGAGAAGACAGCTCTCAAAGTGTTGCAGGCTGCCAATGAGACGACTCCAGAGAAGACACCAATGACGACGACCTCAAACAAATTGTTGCTGTCTGCGGCAAGTCAAGAGCGGAGCTCCCCCCAGTGAGTGGTGGCTGGTTTGTTTGTTTGTTTATGTTTGTTTGTTCTCTTGACTGGGTTGTTTGTTTGATTGATTGTTTGTTCACCTGGCTGGTTGGTTTGTTTGTTTGTTCACTTGGCTGGTTTGTTTGATCATTTGTTCGTTTGTGTGTTTGTTCATTTGTTTGTTTGAGTTACGAGAAAACTCATTGCGGTGATAATGTTCTTTATGTCATGAGAAAAAGCCAGATGAAAGAGAACAGTGGAAAGAAAACAAAGGAGAAGGATTTCTTTGAGATGCCCATTGATCACCCAAATCGACTGAAGGGAGAGTGGCAGGGATTACAGTTTGCTTGTAGTTCTTTGGTAGTTCTTGGCTTTTGCTCCTTCTTTCCCCATCTCTTTCTCTTTTCGTCATCTGACTGATGCACCGTCATGGAAGCTATGAGCTTCCATTTGTGGCCATCGTGGTCTCATTGCTTTTGTTGTTGCATAGAATGACACGGAAGTAGGAGACTTTTAACAGTCGCATCAACGGTAGGTTTTTTTTATTATACAATAGAAACAAACTTTATTAGTGTCTGTTAAGCCTTTCTGCTCCAAACAAGGTGTGTCGTGGATGAAGTTGTTTTGACTGTCAAACACAAAGAAAGCAGTGTAGTTTGAGTTTTGCAGAAAGTCCAAAGTTAGCGAAAATTATTTTTGGATGTTGTAAAGTTGTTACATACATGAGACACGTGAAAATGCTGACTTTTGCAATGTTGTTTTGATTGTTGAGTTGCGCAGTAGTATTTGAGTACACAGTAATTTTCTCATTGCTCCATTTGTTTTTTAATGCGCAAAAGGGTATTTTAGAAAGAAAAAAAGAGGTCAGGATGTGAATTGACATGAATTTTGCGCTTCATTTTGTGAACAGGGTGGAAAAAGTTTCATCGAGTGAGAAATCGGACAAGTCATCAGTGGCATCTCCCGTCGTGCCCGAAAAGTCAAAGGCTGGGGAAAAGGTCAAGGACTCTGTGGGGAAAGACTCTGCCAAGGACAAGGTCAAGACAAAGTTGCCGTCAGGTCTGAGCCTCAAGAGGAAGCTTGGGGAGGACAAGAGGTATAGGTACATGTCAATGTCCACGGTGATGGACGCTTTGCTGCTGCTTTCATTATTATCGAGGTACCGTAGTAAGACCTCAGCGTATTGTGCCTTATCGGATCGGTTATGACATATGTTGTAGTTATGACTTGCTGTTGCCTTGCTCTAATAGGGAAGGTTTCCTAGGAACTTGAGGCCTAGAAAAATATAACGGTAGCAAGCTGTTCAACTGTTCCAAACTGAACAAAACGAAAATTTTTCAAGAGAGAAAAACTTTCATTAAAAAATTTTTTTTTACTGCATTATGTATCTTTTCTGACTTCTTTCAACATTTAGAATTTTGATTTTGACAAAACATGTCTTGAGCATGCGCAGCAAGTATCACTGTAATTTTTTAAGATTTTCAAAAACGTTTGGTTTAGTAAATCTGAACAGCGGGCTGATGAACTGCGGAAGTATTGCAGTGTGTTTGCAGTATCGGAGTAAGGCACATACGCTGCAGGTTTTACTTTAATATAACGACACTGGAATCTGATGTTTGTTTACCGTCGCCCAGAGCTAAGAAACCTAACTTTTTTTGTGATATTAGCTTTGATTGACTTGAGCAACATGGCGAGACGGGGGGTAGGGGGTTGGGGGGAGTGCACGTGGGCCACCACAGTGCAACAAAATTGATTGAATTGGTCTATGTATAAAAAAGATGAAAGCCTATTTTTGTGGTCCATAATGCCAATCAGAGACTGAAGACTCATGAAGTAGGTGTGCTTTTAGCTCAGGTGATGCCATGCTGGGTTATGGCACCGATGACCCAAGTTTGAATCCCTAATGGGATGTTCCTGAATTTTGGTAGATCTGAGAGTTTTCAAGGCTCTCCGCTCATTTGGCTGGGTTTTGACAGTGATGGATGTCAAATTTGGGAGGTCTTGTGTCTTACATAGCCTGACCTTATCACCACATGGCATTGGACAGAAGGGCAAGGGCTCAGCTGTTGCTGGATCAAAAACAAATAACCTGACCTTGTTTTAAAGGGGTGTTAATAAAGCAATGTGGTTATGATTGACTGCGGTGTTGCATTGCTTTGGAAGAAATTTGCGTAGCCTTAAACGAAAATAAAAGTGGTTTGGAGAAACATTTCTGGCGGTGTCTGAGTGTTGGATTCTGGTGTTGGTATATTATATTTCCCTTAGCCTCCTTCAACCCTTGCCTAGCTGATCCCACCCGCTGCTGAGCATGGGCACCCTCACTCACTAGCACGCTGTTGATCTCTGACTTCACTCGGCGGGTGGGATTGTTTTTTATTTTGTTTTAGAATAGTTTTACGGCACTTACAATACAGTAAGGTCATATAAGTGCTGAAGATTAGAGGTGTTATAAGAGAGTAACAAACATTTAAAAAAAGAAGGAAGTTGTTCTTTTTAG